ACAACAAAGCGACGGAAGCAACTCTGGTAGAGCCTGCAAAGGAGGCCAACCGAGGTGTTTGCCGTAAAGTCGAACATCCAGCGCCATGATGTTCCCAGCCACGTACGCGTACAGATAAAACGACGATCCAAGATACGACCAAAACATACATGAGTGGGGCGGGCAAAACCCTTCAACCAAGAAAAATCCCCGTCCCCCTACCCCCACAACTGCTCCACGTCAGCACATCTTGCACGGAATCGCAGATACCAAGCGCCGAGCTTGTTTTTTTTACGCCCCTCTACAACATGAAGACGGAGGATATGTACCGCGTAGAGAACAGTCATCCTAGAGGTGTAGACAGACAAAAGGAGATCGACATAGAAAAAGAATCAACAAAAACACAAGACCGACAACTGGAACATGTACATGGGACAAACAACAGGAATCACAACACTCGACACGGACGCGGCTGACAGCGCGCCCGCCGCCGGCCGCATCCGCGCCACTGCTTATGGGCAAGCCGGTCCACACGCGTCATCATCTATGCTTAAAAACACGTCCCCCTCGAGAGGCCCTCTGCTCTCCGACCCACAAGCCAGTCATTCGGGGCCGTGCCTTGCAACGGCGCGGTACCGGTCACCTGACTTTCATGCGTGTCGCGCACAACACACGCGAAAAAAAGCACTCTCAAGTGCCAACACAACGCGACGCCCTCCGGCAGCGGCAGCACCTACGCCCGTAGATCGCCCTTGAAACAAACACCAAAAGCAAAAGCACAGACCGATTTTGTGGTGGTCCGGCGTGCAGGTCTTCCAACCTACATGCCTGTTACAAGTGAAGTCTTTCATCGTCTTCCGAAATGCGGTCGTAGGGTTCGGACGCGAGACGCGGCCGGTGCAAGAAAAAAGAAACACGCACCCCCCCCACCAAGCTGATCGAAACGCATCGTCTCTCTCCGTGACAAACAAGGCACCATAACCATCGTAGGCGCTGCTGTGTAAACCGTCAATCCCATCGTCGCTAATTCCCGTGCCGACGTGGCACAGCTAGCGATAGCCCTCTCAGGCAGAGGCCGGGGGCGGGGGGCGGGGGGGGAGTCGTGCTGCCACCATCACCGTCGGCCGTACAAGCCAAAGCAGCACTTACGACAGAGACGGCTCGGTGGCTTCAGAATCTCTCGCCCACATGTGGCTTGCGTACGTGAGGCCTCCCCCACCCCCAGACCGGCAGCAGCAGAGCCAAAGCTCACGCGCTAATCAGCCCCGCCGCGCTCAGTACCCGTGCCGCCCTTCCACGGCGCTCACGGAAAACGGCCGGCGGCACTGGGACTCATCGGAGGGCAGCATGTCCCACACCGCGTCTTCCGACGCAGACCGCGGCCGGCCCGCCGCCGCTGCGGACCCTCCGCCCCCCTCCTCGCGCTGAGAAACCCCGAAGCCATACCCACCGATCCCGGTGTCCTCGCTCCGGCTGCCGCCGCTGCGCATGCCCTCCCCGGCCGAGGCCGATCGGTTCCGGCCGACGCGTTCTTCGCCCTGGCCATCGTCGTCATATACGTTCGTGGGGTGATGAAACGGGGCGGCGCCGGCGCCGTTCGAGTAAGGGTGGGCCGCGTGCTGCATCCTTGCGGCGATCGCCTTGGCATTCGCGTACGCCGTCGGAGTCACCCCGGCCGGCAGGAGCGACGAGAAGTCCTCGTAGCCGCTGCCGCCGCCACCGCCGCCGTTGGTGTAGGGTCCAAGCCCGCCCTGGGACGCGAACGGGCCCACCGCCGCCGACATCGCCACCGCCGCCGCCATGGCGGGCGACGACGGCACGGTCGGTACCCCGCCGAAAGAAGGCGCCGCGGACGGCGACGATGGCGAGGGGGACTCCGTGGACACGCACGATGGGGTGTGGTGCCCATGCCCCGCCCCGCCCCCGCCGCACGACGACCACGCCGCGAAGTCGGTGCTGCTGGTCGGCGTGTTGCTGCACGTCGTGCCGCCGCCGCCGCCGCAGCGAGCGGGGCAGAGGGGGACAGGCAGGGAAGCACCGGGGAGGAGCTGGTGCGCGAAGCCTCCGTGGCCGTGAACGGCGGCGAAGGCGGCGGCGACGAGAGTGGGGTCCCCGTACACGGCCTCGTCGTCGAGGTCATTCCCCAGCTCCAAAAACGGGTGCCGCAGGAGTTGCTCCGCCGATGGCCTCTGAGTTTACGGAAACAACATCGACGAAAAAAAAAAAAGCAGCAAGAGAGAGAACAAACAAATGGGATCAATCGCCGTGTGCCAGGTGCAAGACTGCATGGGAGCAGCGGGGGTAAGCGCCATACCTGGAAGTTGTAGCGCTTGATGAGACTCGGCTCGGTCAATAGAAGGGGCATCCTCCGGTGTGGGAATTTTCGGCGAATTTTCGTTCACGGAGCCTTTCCTCGGCATGCCAGCGCACGATCGTGGCGCCTCCAGCCGTGTGTGCACCTGGCCTGTCTCTCGAGATGTGTTTTTTTCTTCGCTCCAGGATACATGCACAGCAGTTGGGTCTCTAGACAAAAAAAGAAGCTCAGCCTGGAATACTAAAACTACGAACCCGGTGCTGCCCCAAGGGTTGGAAAAACAGTGACAGACGGTATATTGATGATCGACCGCTGGCCTGTCCACACACCTCGTTGATAGGCGCGCGACACGATCGGAGCAGGTCTACCACCGACTCCGGCCAGCCCGAGAAGACCGAGAGCATCTCCAGGAACCGCTCGTCCTCCGCTAGGGCCGGGTCCAACCTCCCCCTGTAAGGACACAACGCCCCGGACGTTGCAGGATAAGTCAGACAACGGTTCGAGCATGCAGGAATGCTGTTCGGCGCCTTCTCCTATTGGCGGCGTTGCTACGGGGGGGGGGGCGGCTATTGTTCCCGGATGTGATGGCGACGACACGGGAGGGATCGGGCGCAAAAAGCGAAGGGCGACTGTTCATCCCCAGGCGACGTGGGGGGTCCAGCAAGAAAGGCATGGCGACAAGCGCATGTCGTGTTGGTAGTCGTGGTACATATCTGACAATAAACTACATATGAACACATAGGGCGTTGCAAAGCTCACTTCAGGATCATTTCGATCACCACCGTGCCGAAACCTCGAACGTCTCTCGCTCTGCCATCCTCTTCCTCCTCCTCCTCCACCTCCTCCTCCTCTTCCTCCGGTGCGGCGGACTGGTCGTCGCTCTCCTTCCCGACGTGGCGGTGGTGGTTGTGGTGTTCGGCGGCGGCGCTGTGGAGGCCGCAGTTCATGCCGCCCCCGGACACCAAACCCCACGCCTTGTTTCCCCAGTTCATCGGGCCACCACCACCACCACCACCGCTCTCGCTGCTGCTGAGCATCCCGTTGGATCGCGTTGCGGGAGGGGGTGCGGCGATATCACAGACACCGCCCACGAACAGGTGGTTCTTGGAAGGGTCGATGTAGATCGTGCTGAGGGACAAATTTTTGCAACACGGCAAGGGGGGGGGGGGGTTACGATGGGTGCTGCATAGCTTGCTGCCTGTACACACGACTGTTACCACGGGAGGGTGTGTCGGTAGATTTTCTTCGCTGCCATCAACAAAAGATGGCCGGGCTGAGGAAAAAAACGTTTGGAAACCTCCCCCACCAATTGGCTGTGTACATCCTCGCGCTCGAAAGCTCAAGGCAATACACCACCGCAGACGAAGGGAAGCAAAGGGGGAGCAGCACGTGAGCGCATGCGCATGAAGCGGCGCAACAAGAGACAAAAAAAAAAAAAAAACTCACTTGTGTACCACGGGCGGGGACTGATCGTGAAGGAACAACAACGCCTCCAAAATCTGCCGGCTCCATCGCTTCACCACGCGCCATCGAAGGAACTCCACCTGGAGAGGACGGACGGCAAGGGGGGAACGAACGATGACCAGACCGGGCCGGGGGGGAGGGGGGGCTGAGGGCGGTAGACGCGCCCGGTAAACTCCACACCCCATACACGCACTCCCGCCCATCACGCGGCGAGACCTTGGGGCCAGAACCTGGTCATAAACGGGGCACCCTTCAACGCAACTACATCTACCTGGCCGTCTCAGATGGCCGTCGATCGACAACTCTTCGTCCCCGAACCGGACCTTACCTTGGTGTCCACGAAGGCCTCCAGCGTTGTACACGGGGTGGTCAGGAAGACCACGCGCTCCCCCTCCCCGGCCGAGGTCTCCCCCGACTGCCAAGGCAGCGCGCGGGACTGTCGTTCGGCCGGGCCGGCTCGCGACGCCTCCTGCCACCGGGGGGGGGGGCGAACGACGGCGAAATCGACAACAAGGGAAGGGTTAGGTACACACGTTGGCGTTGCCGGGATGAGGGCTGTATACGGCCTTCTCGGAAAAGTACTACAGTATATACGTAGGTTGGTGTTGCCTGGGACAGGCAGGCGCTACGTTGGTGCTTGCGTCGACAACGTCTAGGTCGCTGTCGAGCGGCATTTATACCGCTTTTCTTCTCACAACCTTCGACGTCTCTCTGCCTGTCTGTCTCCCCCTACTCCCACCCACCCCCCTCCTCGACGGCTACCAGCGTCGTGCCCCCCTTGTTCGTCTCACCCAGTAGCGCCGCACCCCCAGGACGTGGTCGTGCTTCAATCCCTGTAGAAGGTCGATGGTTCTCTTCATCGAACTCCTCTCATCGGGCGGCAACTCTCTGCGGTAGGGTAGGGCAGAAAGGGACGGCCATCACGTGGACAAGACGTCAGCGTGCTTGTATGCGTTGTGGGCAGATATATATAGAGGCGCCGCCGCCTACAGACTGCTACTGGGTCCTGGTGCTGGCTAGGCCGAGGTCCCTGTTGACCAAAATTTGGGGCGAGTAGCGGCTGGCCAAGGTTTCACAAGGGAGCAACCTCGGGGGGGGGGGGGGGGGGGTCCCCCCCCAAAATTGTGTCTCCCAACCCCCGGCCTTTCCATCTGTTGGTTTTGCCAAAAAGGCGCAACCCCCAAAGAAAAAAACCGCGGGCGGGCCCCAAAAAAAACAAACGCCCCCA